TTATACACTGATTCACCTGAAACATGCTGTCCAGAGAGTGAGTGAATACACAAATGTGTCAGATTGATGGGCAAATGTATATTTAGGGTCTTGTCCAACTGCCAATACTAATATTCTCCAAGAGAGGCTGCTAAACTGCAGCCAATAAGAAAGACTGCCAAGGTGGAAAAGGCCAGCTACTGGAACGCTGACCTACCTTTCACCTCCATCTAAGAAAAAGTGCCACTTACCTACCTGGTCACTGCAAAGTTTACCTTTCCCATGACTCAGGGAACACCCTGCCCTCTGGGTAGCAACTCCTTACTACAGTTCCTAAAAATGATTAGTTTTCATACCAAACACGACAAGTGCCAACCAAATTGTTTTCTTGCCGGGAACTACACAAAATCTGTCTTCAGTGGAAATTCACTGGAAAGAATAAGTGTAGGTGACTGGTGACCTCCTGGCACTGAATTTAGTACAGCATTGGACTTTACACAGTTATAGAAAGAGATTATTATCAAGATGGACCACTGCATGAAAAATACATTAGAAACCCAGCTAAAGTACTCAATGGATAGAGAATCAATCTTATTTCTTAACTATTAATAGCAGAGCAAATTAGGCTCCCTCATTGTGTGTGTGTGTGTGTGTGTGTGTGTGTGTGTGTGTGTGTGTGTGTGTGTGTGTGTGTGTACACAAGCTGGTTCATGCACATGCACATGCATACAACTAGAGCTTGAACTCAAAGCTTAGGTACTCTGCCTCAGCTTTTTTGCTCAAGGCTCTACCACTTGAGCCAAACCTCCATTTCCTGCTTTTTGGCTAGTTAATTGAAAATAAACACACTTTCCTGTCTCAACTAGTTTCGAACTGCAATCGCATCTCAGCCTCCTGAGTAGCTAGGATTGCAAGGGTGAGCCACCAGCACCTGAACTGAATTGCCCAAATGAATTTTAGTCTAAGCCTTCATGTCCTTCTTTTTTTCTTTTTTTTTGGTCAGTCATAGGGCTTGAACTCTGGGCCTGGGTGCTGTCCCTCAGCTCTTCAGCTCAAGACCAGCACTCTACGACTTGGGCCACAGAACCACTTCCAGTGTTCTGGTAGTTTATTAGAGATAAGAGTTTCATGGACTTTCCTGCCCAGGCTGGCTTTGATCCATGATCCTCAGATCTCAGCCTCCTGAGCAGCTAGGATTACAGGCATGAGCCACCAGAACCCAGCCTTCATGTTCTTTGATTTCTCAGGAAAAGCTAGCACTTCCACCAAACTTAAGTACATGGTCCAGCATGCCCCATACAGCCCACAATCTTGACTTCACCTTCAAACATTTGAACTCTTTCATACATGTAGTTCATTCAACAGACATTTCTAGAATACCTAGTACCTCCTGTAATGAAATATTTGCAATAATTATTGTAATAATTGTAATATTTGTTGAGCCTTTAACTTAGGCCTGGCATTTTCTATAGAACTCAACACTCACATGTAACCATAGACTTTATTCTCCACTCAGAACACCTCTGAGAATGAAAGGGAAAAGTATTTCTACTACAAGAACATACGCAGGAAATAAACTGAAGCTGTCCTGGGCCAATCAATATGATCAGTCTATCAGTGAAGTAAGCATTTTTATATGTAAGGAAATTGGGGTTAACCTTAAAGATAAAAATCTTTTAACATGCAAAAAATAAAAGTTCTCTTTAGAATGCCAAGGATTGCTGGGTGCTGGTGGCTCAAGATATACAGCACTACTCTTGAGCACAAAAACTCAAGGACAGTGACGCCAGATCGAGCACAAAATAAAAATAAATAAAATAAAATACACTTTAAAAAAGAATGCCAAGGAAGCCAGGGACCAGTGAATCACGTCTATAATCTTAGCTACTCAAAAAGCTGAGATCTGAGGAACACAGTCCAAAGCCAGCCCAGGGAGAAACAATCCATGAGACCTTACCTCTAACCAGGAAAAAGCCAAGAGTGAAGGTGTGGTTCAAGTGGTAAAGTGCCAGCCTTGAGAAGAAAAAAAAAAAGCTAAGGGAAAGCTTTCCCAGTACTATCACCAAAAATAAATAAATAAATTCTCTTAAGAATGTCAAGGAACTTATACTTCATATACCCTAGCTATCTCCCCCCAGGGCAAGACGTTTATCTCTAATGTCTACTGCGTACTGGCTGCTGACCTAGTGACAATGGAATACCAAAAAAAGTTATAGAGTGAAAAATGTCTATCTGGAGGGTGGCAAGAGGCCAAAATCACAAAACTTTTAGGTCAGTGACGGTGACCTAGCTTGATTCTCATGCTTATCTAAAAAGGTAAGGTTTCTGAAACGTTGTCACATATGTTTTGTTTGTTTGTTTGTCAGTTGTGGGGTTTGAACTCTGGGCCTGGTGCTGTTCCTCAGTTCTTCAGTTCAAGGCTAGCACTTTACCATTTGAGCCATAGCTTTCTAGTGGTTTATTTAAGATAAGAGTGTCACAGACTTTCCTGCCCGGGCCAGCTTTGAACTGTGATCCTCAGACCTCAGCCTCCTGAGTAGTTACCATTATAGGCCTGAGCCACTGACACCCAGCTTCACATGTTTTTGAGAAAGATTGGCTCTGCCATTCAACATTGGCTTTTCCTTTGCATTCCTGAGAGCTGTCCTGCCATAGTATAAGGCCACTTATAGAAGAAAATCTCACAGGACTAAAAACTACAAACTCAACACAAATGAAAATCTAACTCAGAGTGCAATACACTGCATAGTCATTCAACTGGTTGAGTCACTTTGTATACCACCTGGAAAGACTATCTCTGGATCTCACCACACATTTTTTGTAGCATGCTATTTCCAACAGTGGTGCCCTCATTAATAAAAGTAAATCAGAAATCCAAGCAGTGCTTGTGACACTCTAGGGAAGCTCCCTCTGTTTAAATGAAACATTGAGTATTTGAACTTGGAATTGTCTAGATCCAAAGCCCATGATCCTCACTAGCAGAGAAAGGAGCCATCACTGTGTGCCAGAGACCCAGCTGAGCACCTGAACTGGGCCACATGTTCATCCTATATTATAGCTTACAAAGTGCTACCACAGGAACTTAGCTAGTTTTCACAAGTACACTGTGATATATCATATGATCTCATATATCATATGATCACATGATATAGCATATGATATATTATGTGGTATCATATATCATATGATCACATGGTATATCATCTGATCTAGCATATGATCTCATATATTATATAATCACATGATATAGCATGTGATGTATCATACCTTCATGGCAACTGAAAATTGTGGATATTCCACAACTTAAGATCACAGAGCTCATGAATGGCCCAAACACATGTCTTTGTTTTCCCTTGAACAAATTAAATGGTGAAGATACACTGCCAAAATGACAACATGGTAAAAACCTAGATTTTTGAGCTATATAGTCACGAATCTAATACTATCTTGTCTTCCAAAGCCTCAGACCCGGGCAGCCAACACTACTAGACAGGACTAAGAAAATAATAACAGCTTCTATCTATGTGTGGATCATGCTGAGGATGTCGGTGGCAATTATTTCACGCTCTCTTGCAGAAGTCAAACAGCAGGACAGAAGTTTTGGAGACAGGAGTTCAAGTCTCGTGATGCTACTTAAAACCTAAACCTCAGAGGAAGGTTTCTCCACCCTTGAATTTGTGCCCATTCTCCATGAGATCAGGCAGATCTTTGCCAACCCATCTCAAGTTGCAATTGGGAACTAAGTCATAAAAATGATTGTAAAATGCACTTGCCACATAAAAAGAGCTACAAAGGCTATGAATTACTACCAGGTTCTGACAGATGGGTTATGATGGGCAGGTTTTAAAGAGAGGGAAAAGACAAGAGATCTGCCTGGTAATGTCTCCAAGACTGTCAGAGTAAGCAAAAATAAGCAGGTAAGCAAAAATAAGTAGATTTAAAAGGAGAATGGTGAGATGGGGAGTAAGGAATTGTCACAAAGAAGAAATCTGAAGCTAGGAAAGATCAAGGAGCTTGGGGCAGGCACCAGTGACAGTAACCCAAATAAATCCACACAAACACACACACGTATCCAAAACCAAACCACTGAAACCATAGCGCTTTTAGAGAACAAAGCAAAATATGTGAAAGTGAGAGGGAAAGGATGATACTGTCCAAAAGAAACATATTCTTTGCCCAACTTACATAACTATAGCCCCTCTATACATCACCTTCATAATAAAAATTTAAAATACTTCTTAAAAGAGAAAGCATCTCAAAAAAGATAACCATTTTTAGTTGTTATTACTTAATAATTGAAGCTGAAAAACTTTTTTTTTTTGGGGTCGGTCATGGGGCTTGAGCTCTGGGCCTGGTTACTATCCCCAAGCTCTACCACTAGCACTCTACCACTTGAGCCACAATGCCACTTCTGGTTTTCTGGTGGTTAATTGGAGATAAGAGTCTCACTGACTTTCCTGCCCAGGCTGGATCCTCAGATCCTCAGATCTCAGCCTCCTGAGTAGCTAGGATTATATGCATGAGCCACCAGCACCCAGGTTGGAGAACTTTATAAAGAAAAGAATTTTACCTAGCTCATAGTTATGGAAGTTTAAAAGCATACTGCCAGCATCTGTTCAGCCCTGGTGAAGGCCTGGTGAAGGATGGTACCACAATAACAGGCGTGCAAGTGGAAAAGATATCACACCACCCAAAAGCAAGCCAAAGAGCAAATCAGAGGCTGGGTTGGCTCTCCTGTAACAACTAGCTCTCAGAATTCCAGGGAACTCCATTAATCCATTCCTAGTACATACCTTTAAGGACTACCCACTAAGGACCCTTTTCCTAGGCCCAGTCTCACATCCTCACACCAAGAACCAAACCTCTAACATATGTGCATACCCTTGAAGAACTAGTCACATCCAAACCATAGCAGTGATACATAATCAATCAATATAGTAATGATATACACATATAAGCACACAAGAATGTTTGAAATGATAGGAAGATAAACATTTTCTAGCCCTGACTTTATGGTTTACCTGAATGACTTCCATTGACCGTTGGTCACTCACGCCCACCAATCTCATTCATGCCACATGCATTAGGAACATGGCCATTTCTTCCAAGCCTCTCACCAACTACAGCAGACTCCCACAATGCACTTCCATTCCTCCCTCTCTTCCTTGACCACCTCTTGTATGATCCTCACCTTCAAGCCAATGGATTTCCACTCAGATTCAGCTTCCTGTATGCAGCTGTACCACTTTAGATCCCCTTTCCTCTAGCAAGTTTCTTCTTGCAAAGCAGTGTAGCATTCCAAAGCCTAGTTCCAGGAAAAGTCCCCACCCACCAATGCACATATGCAGTTAAGAGGGCCTCATTACTGTCCTGGGTCAAAGTCTCAGGCTCACTCATCCGGTTACTAAAAGTGTTGCTATGGCTCCTGCATTACTATCAAATACTTAACCCCACAGAGATGGTTCCAGAGCCTCGGCTCAGCCTTGTTCTCCTGTGAACCATGAATCTCTAGAGGACCAGTTAATGGCCCCTATTATCTACACTAGATAAATTTAAACATTACTTAGCAAAAAATGAAAACTCACGCCCTACTCCACTTCCCACAGTCCTCTTTGTGTGGGCTTTTTGAAATACAGTCTGAAAAACAGGCCACCTTCTTCTATCTGTATATGCAGGTATATCTGCATATGGTGCTATTTTTGCCTGGTAGGGCCCTCTGTCACCTTTCCTTCCTCAGTTGTCCAACTCCAATTTAGTCCTAGAGATTTCATTCTAATAGCACTCATCTACGATAGCTTCCCTGAGGGTGATCATCCCCTCCACAGAATAAACATACCCTGTAACAACATTTAATACACTGATCTTCCCCTACACACACACACACACACACACACACACACACACACACACACACACACATGTGAACTTGACCTTTATCTTTGGATTCCCAAGATCTACCTGGGCCCTGGTTCACAGTGAGGACAATTATATGTGCTTTACGTACCAGTCTCCTCATGTATCTCCAGATTCTAGTTCTACCATGTTACCTACCAGCTTCTATCTTCTTTCTCTAATTCAGCAAATCTTCAAGGTGAGGGAACTTTCCAGTCCTCCCAAGTTACTCTGTACTTGACCAATATTTCATCATTCAGCACTATAAACCATTGTTCTCAACTCAAAATCAATCTAGCTCTGTCCTATTTCCAGTCAAACTATACTAGGTATGTGGCAGGTAAAGTTGCATGTTATCACAAAGAAACACAAGTTTGGAGTCATAATTTTGAACCCATCCCAAATTTAACCCTTGGACAAGGGTTAAAATGGAGGTGGCACTGATTCTCAGATGCTTGAATACATTTAAGTGGACCATCTGGTAGAAAGTACCTTTACAGTACAAAGTACTATAATTATAAAGAACATGATTCACTAGATTACCGATGGCTGAGGATTACAAAACTGGCTATTCAGAAGGCTGAGATGTGAGGGTCAAGATTTGAAGCCAACCTAGGCAAGAAAGTCCTGAAACTCTTATCTACCAAAAAGCCAGAAGGTAAGTTATGCCTCAAGTGGTAGAGTGCCAGCCTTAAGTAAAAAATGTAAGGGTTGTCAACGAGACCCACACTAAATAGATTGATAGATGGTAGACAGAAAGATGAATAGACAAATACATTGATGGCATGAGTAACAAACCGTGTCAAATTTAAATTACTAACTAGTAAGGCTCTGGTGGCTCACCGCTATAATCCTAGCTACCCAGGAGGCTGAAATCTGAAGACTGGGATTCAAAGCACATCCAAGAAGGAAAATTTGTGAGACCCATCTTCAGTTAAGCAGCAAAGAGAAGGAAGGATGGCTCAGGTGTAGAATGCCAACCTTGAGCAAAAAAGCTGGTGAAAGCCTGGAGCCCTGAGTTCAAGCTCCAGTACCCACATAAAATAAATCAAAAAGTAAACCAGCAACTATAAGATGGATCAATATCAACTTAGAATATAACAAACTATTCTACAATGACACCTCTCTGATTATAAAACTGAGTTCAGCGATACCAAAATATGAAAAAAGATGTGTATTCAAGATAACCCAATAGAATTTGTCTCAATAAAAATAGGAACCTGAGATAAAATTCTCATATTTGACAGACGTGCCTAATAGGTGCTCAGTAACACATATCAGATAAATGGACAAACACTCAATGATAAAGATCTTAAGCCAAATGATTGCCTCTCTCACTGAAATTGAAAAGCAGGCTTTCCAATGGCCAGGATTTCCTCCTAAAGCTTGTTCCAGCCTGCTGAAATTCCTCAATTGATGGCTTCAAGTCATACCCAAACTCAGAGCTTGGTATGTCTAAAGCCCTTCATAATTAAGTCTCACCCACCCATTTCTGCCTGGAAATCTCTGTCGGAGAGGAATGGCCTCTCCACCAGAATGTGCCCTGCCAAGAAGGGTCCTATTTAAGTCTCAGACATAATAAGCAGCTCAGCAGCTTAGCTTCCTCCTCCCTCTGCCAATCCCCAAAGCCAACTCCAGACTCCATACTGCTTACAAGGAGCCTGAAGCTGGAGACAGCCAGACCTAGAGACCCCAGACTTGCTTTCCTACTAGTCATACAGCTAATCCCATCTACCTATCTTGTACTTTTAAGCCCTGGGCCTGATGGACTGCCTGCAAAGATTTTTCTAAAAAGGCAAAAAATCTGCTTTTTAACTACCTTGGTGCTGGCAAAAAAAAAAAAAAAAACTTGCAAGGAGGAGGTTCTAGATGGGACAGGAGAACTGCACTGAAGCTACAGGGCTGGCTCTCACTTTTGTGGACTTCTGTTTCCTTTCCCTACCCAAGAGAACATGGATTAGCTCTTTCTAGAGAACCCCCTATCCACTTTCCCTCCCTTCCTCTAAAAGGTTTCTTAAAATGCACATATCAAAGAGAGGTGAAACATTAAGTCACTAACACCTTTTAAGAAAGGTTGTTTTTTTTCTCTTATTTTAATTGGAGAGGCCTCAGGGGGGGAAGTGAAAAGACAAAGGGGGACTGAAAATAAAGTTAAAGGAGTGTGGTTATAGGGACCTAACTGACTCTGAGCATTTGTTAACTCTTTCCAGTTGGGAGGGGAAGCAGTGGACCCCCTTCTGGGGGGGGGGAGGGAAACAGTTAAAATATTACTGTTCCTTTAGAACCCAAGACACTGCCTAGTCCACCTACCCTGCACTGACTTGCTCAGGGCATGACATGATTTCCGACCCCTTCACCAAACCTCAAGCCCCAACAAAACACCATAAATGGTTCTCCCCACCCTATAGTCTTGACTGGTCTGCGATGGCTTGGGATGGCCTTCATCCACGAGTGTGTCAAACTTCAGAACACTCCCCAACCTTCAAAAGCCCTGACTGACAACAATCCCCTCCAAGGGCCATTTCGAGTCCCTCCCGAAGGCCCCCAAAATCAAGCTAGTCCCCTAACTCCCCTGTAGAACTTGAGTTATTCATTCTCCCCCAGCACTTCCTACTCTGACTCTGATTGGGCTCTTCCAAGAGAGCGCTCCCTGAGGGCAAAGTCTGAGCCCAATCGACCTACACTATCTAAATCACAAACACAAACACACACACACACACACACACACACACACACACACAGGAACTAAGGAAGGGGTCCTAAGCCACCTATTCTAATACCAACCCTGCCTCAAAGGGATGCCTTCACAGACGATCCTCTCCTCTGCACCTCAGTTTCCCAGACTGTGAAATGGGAAGGCCAGAAGGACTGAGTCCCTGGGCCCTTTGCACAGTGACAACTGTGATTCCGCGAAAGCGCGGAGCAGCTAGGCGTGGCCCCGCCCCCTGGGCGCCCAGAAAAGCCCAGGCAGGGGGGGCGCTCGGAGAAAAGACTCCAACCCCGCCCAGTCCCGAAGTCCAAGCTTCCCCCCCTCCTATAAATTCTAGATCCCCCATGCTCCCCCACCTCCAATCCCCCCCTCCCTTTACGGGGTGCACCCCGTGATTGGGCCGAGGCCCGCACTTCCGCACCGCGGGCCTGGCGGCCGGGGCAGCACGCGCTGCACCCCGCGCTCCAGCCACCCCCGAGGCGCTCGCGCCGGGGTAGGACCGGGGGTTCCTGCGGCACCCGCGGGCGGAGGGTGGAGGGGGGGGGAAGGAAGGAGGATTTGCAACAATACCTCAGGGAGGAGGCGGACGGGGCAGCGGCGGCGGTGGCGGCTGGAGGAGGAGGCAGCCCTGGAGGAGGAGGTGCCCAGGCACTGCCCCCTCCCATTGTCCCCCGTCCCGGACAGGCCCGGCCCCGCGCCCCGCGCCGGGCTCCGGGGAGCGCGCGCCCCTCACCCCGGGGAGCGTGCAGCCAGCCCTTACCTTGCAGCAGCCGGCTGTTCCCGGCCGCTAAAGCTACTTTATCCCGGGAAAGCTTGCGCGGGGCCCGGGAACGAACCCACAGACAAAAAGTGAAACTTCGGCCGGGCTGGAGCGGCTGCTGGTTGGTGCCTTTCCCCCTCCTTCCTCCCCACCGTCCCCACCCCCTCCCCTCAGTCTCCCGTGCGGTGCCCGGAGCGCTGGAGGCTGACGTCAGGGGCCTGAATTCCTGACTTTGCCTGCACGCATTTGTCCATGTAAGGTATGGGGAGGCGGGTGCCCCGGGGCCGCGGCGCAGCGCTCGCCGGCGCGCGGGCAAGGGGAGGGGGCCCCCGCGGCGGACCAGGGCCTGGCCGCACGGTGGGCGCAGCCAGGGCATTGCGTTTCCAGGGAGGAAGCGGAGGAGACGTGCGACTGCCGGGAGCTGGCAAAGGAGGAAGGGGAAACGGGGAGCTCATGGAGCTCTGCCTCCACGAAAGGAAGAGGAAGGAGACGGAGAGGATGCCTGCGCGCGGAGGTGGGGTGCTATACCAAAAAAAAAAAACACACACAAAAAAGAAAATGAGGGAACTTCATGTGTGCTGTTGTTTGAGGCGCCCAAGGACCGGGCTGAGGCTGAGCGGGAAAGACCTGGCCTTGGAACCGACTTCCAGGACCCTCCTTGGAAGCCCCGCCCCTGCCTGGCTGAAAACTTCGGGGACGCTGGAGCCCCGGGCAGACCGACTTCTAATCCATGCGCTCCCCACCTGACCACACTGGAATTCCCCAGAGAAACGACTTGAGCCGGGCCCCACGCCACAGACCCAGAACTGGACCCGCAAACTGTGCAATCCGGTGGGGTTCCCGCCTCCAAAACAAGGGTCCCAACCCCCCCTTCACCCCCCACCACACACACACACCCCTCCATCCCTGCAGCCCCAAACCAGGTGTCATAGGACCACGCAGCAAAC